ATTTGCGCTTCTCGGCTGAGCGTTGATATTTACCTTAACAACCATAATATAAACAATCTTGCCGTTAAAATTTTAAAAATCGCGTTTTATATTGTTTAATGTTATTAAATTTATTTTATTGGTTTTCTGTTTTAATTAAATAATTTATATAAATTAATAATTACTTGTTCCTTTATATCAAATATTTTAAATACCTTATATATAATGCACTGAAGATGAGTTATTTATAACTCGAAATAGCTATTTGCAAATTTATTTAATAAAAAATTTTTAAAAAACAATAAAATGTCTAATTTCTCTTAAATTAATAAATTAAAAAGAAATATAAAAAAGTTGAACAATATTGAAAGTAGTGTTGAATTTTTGAAATATATATATATATATATATATATATATATATATATATATATATATATATATGGGGAAGGAGTGCACAGTCGATCACTTTTTACAAAAATGGCTATAACTTAAAATGTTTAAGAGATAGCATCTTCTCTAAATATTTGTTTTATGTCTTTATTATTAAAACTTCAAATTCTACCTAGTGCATTTATCTAATTGGAATGGTTTTGAGCAAAATGGAGTTCAAAATGGCCTACTGAAAACGATCGATTGTGTACAACCAGTGTACACATCCGATCACATGTAAGTACACATCCGATCACTACTACAAATATACAATTTTAAGTTTGCCAAGCATTTAATTAAGTGTTGATAAGAATTTAAAAACATACAGAAATTAGTGATTTCATACTGATTTAGAAAACTGTTATAATGTAAATTCTTCTAGTAAAATGTCCTTATGTAGATATAAGTTTTTCTACAATTCTTCTCATTATACTAATCTAAAATAAAGAAATGAATAAATATTAACAGTTTTACTGAACTAGTTGGTAATACTAAACTAGTACTAGAAGAAATAATGTTTTTAAGTGAAAGTTTCCCTTCAAAGGCCACAAACTAGGACAGATTTTCAATGACTGACAGATCAACAGGAAATATTAAATGCCTTGAGGCCCGGGCAGTTCCACCATGACAAACTGGTTTCGGAAGCTTACAAACAATGTCATTTTTATCAATTTCATACGGTTCTTCATTTGAGATTATAAACTGGAATGCTGTAGACTTTTCTCTTTTTAAAAACACAATCATTAGTTCACCATCTCTCTCTGTTAATTTGCCGATATAATGAACAATTTTCTTCTTGTCTGTTTTCATCATCATTTCAAATTTTACAATGACAAATGCACCATCATTAAGTTCGGAAAAATCATACAATAATTCACTATTAATTAGTTCATTATTAAAAGCAGTACACAGTCGATCAATGATCAACTGTGTACACTCCTATGACGATCGACTGTGTACGTCCATGCCTATGATTTTTATACTACCTATAACTTTTATGGATATTTCCTACCACAAAATTTATGAATACACACGCATAGTATATACAATAATATATCAATAATGCAACACAGGTATATCTAACCGTACCTACCTTATGTACAGCTTAATTCGTTCGATGGTGTACAATATTTTCTTTCTATTCGTTAAAATGCATAAAAGATTTATAATATTTTATTCGCGAATGATTTCTGTCAAAATGGCGATAAACAACGAGGTCACCTATATTGTCGTCCACGTGGTACATTATATTTTACAAAATAAGAGTGCGTTCGAAAACAAACGTTCCGATTGACTGTGTACACCGATCGACTGTGCACGCCTTCCCCCTATATATAAGAAGTACTGGATATTAAAAGGATTAATTCACGTCTCATGTGGATCAAGCTTCGCATAGAAAAGCAAACAATGATTATTTTTTCTGCATACGCACCACAGACAGGCGAATCAGAAGAGATGAAAAATGACTTCTGGACTGCATTCTCTGACACCATCTCAACAATACCAAAATCTGAAACAATCCTGATTGGAGGCGATCTCAATGGCCACGTTGGAGAGAAAACAGATGGTTTTGACAACGTACATGGCTGTTTTGGCTATGGAAAACGGAATGAAGATGGCAACCGCATCCTTGAGTTTGCTGAAAGTCACGGGTTTTGTTTACTGAACACATATTTTAGAAAGAGGTTGGAACATCTCATAACATACAAAAGTGGATCATCAGCCACGCAAATTGATTTCTTCGCTGTCAAGCAACCACACCGAAGGCTGTTCAAAAATGTCAAAGTTATACCTGGCGAATCATGTGTCGCCCAACATAGACTCCTTGTGGCAGACCTGGTTGTCGAACTGTCAAAACATAAGTCTAAACAAATGCCTCGGAGAATCAAAACATGGAAGCTGAAAAGCAATATTTATCGAGAAAAATTTCAACAGATTGTCGCAACACAGTTAGACCACCAATCGCAAGCCAGTAGCTGAAAAGAAAGTTGCATACAAGCAATGGCAAAAATCAAAGTCTGTCGATGACCATACAATTTTCCGTGAGAAGAACAACTATGCAAGACGTCAAGTTGCACTGGCTCGGACAGATCAGTGCAGAGAGTGGCTCACTAAAAGCAAATGTGAACAAATGAAATCTCTGTATCGTATAGCAAAACAAGCAAAGCGTACGAAAAAAGACATAGTTGGTGCCTCATGTATAAAAAATGACAAAAATGAGATGGTTCTTGAACGAGATGAGATCAAGCTACAGTGAAGAGAATACTTCAACCGTCTGTTAAACGAAACAAATCCAATCAATGCTCCACCCATCGAAGGTCCGATTCCAGACATCACTGCAGAGGAGCTTACAGAAGCTCTGAAAGCTATTGATTGAATTGTTACCTACACCAGCTTTACAAACTGAACAGGGCCATCGTCCAGTAGCTGAGGATTGGATGGGTTCACCAGTTTTCATTGCTTTGGTTTTGCTGATGTTGACTTTGAACCCATAATCGGCGAGTCTGTTGTTCCAATCTTCAAACATCTGTGCTGCATTCTGCTCAGACGTGGCTGTTAAAACGATATCATCAGCATATATTAGATTCCAAATGTCACCAGTACGTATAGGTTTTGTGATTTCTTCCATCACAGTTATAAATAACAGTGGACTAAAAATCGAGCCTTGGTGAACTCCAACGCCGATGTCAAATGCATCTGTGTTTCCAACCGTTGTGCTGACGAGAGTCTTAGTATTCGTATACATTTCCATCACAAGTCGAACAAGATATTCTAGAATGAATTGTCGACGTAGACTCCACCTGATTGCTTCACGGGGAACTCGATCAAATGCTTTTTCAAGGTCTGCAAAAGTGTGTGATAGTTGGTGATGTCTTGCAGTTGCCGAAGGATGTAAATTGCATCAATTGTTGATTTCCCGGCTAGTAAACCAAATTGATAATTTCCGATTGTGATGCACGACGTTAATCTTCTCTCAATGATTTTCTCGACATTTTTTAGGGAGTGTTCTAACAGACGTATACCCCGATATGATGAACAGTTAAATGGACCACCTTTGCCTTTGTATAGCGGAACTGTCATGCTATAGTTCCATTCAGTCGGCATTGAGCAATTTTTCCACACTTCACGGCAAAGTTGTAGTAACGTTTGGATACCTTCAGTACCAGATGAGTCCAGAGGGCCCTGCTGCTTTTCCATCCTTTGTAGCTTTCAGAGCTTCTGTAAGCTCCTCTAGAATGATTGATGTCTGGAATCGGACCTTCGATGGGTGGAGCGTCAAAGTTAACATTGATGGGATTTGTTTCGTTTAACAGACGGTTGAAATATTCTTTCCACTGTAGCCTAATCTCATCTTGTTCAAGAACCATCTTATTTTTGTCGTTTTTGATGCATGAGGCAAAAACTACGTCAATCTGTTGAAATTTTTCTTGATAAATATTGCTTTTCAGCTTCCACGTTTTGATTCTCCGAGGCATTTGTTTAGACTTATGTTGTGATAGTTCGACAACCAGGTCTGCCACAAGAAGTCTATGTTGGGCGACACATGATTCGCCAGGTATAACTTTGACATTTTTGAACAGCCTTCGGTACTGTTGCTTGACAGCGAAGAAATCAATTTGCGTGGTTGATGGTCCACTTTTGTATGTTATGAGATGTTCCAACCTCTTTCTAAAATATGTGTTCAGTAAACAAAACCCGTGAAACCCGTGATTTTCAGCAAACTCAAGGATGTGGTTGTCATCTTCATGCTGTTCTCCATAGCCAAAACCAGCATGTACGTTGTCAAAACCATCTGTTTTTTCTCCAACGTGGCCATTGAGATCGCCTTCATTCAGGATTGTTTCAGATTTTGGTAATGTTGAGATGGTGTCAGAGAACGCAGCACAGATGTTCTTTTTCATCTCTTCTGATTCGCCCTTCTATGGTGCGTATGCAGTAAAAAGAGTCATTGTTTCTTTTCTAGGCGAATCTTGATCCACATGAGACGTGAGTTAATCCTTTTAATATCCAGTACTTCTTGGGCTAGCGGTTCTTTGACAAAAATTCCAACACCATTTTTGGCCGTCTTTTGACCATTCCAGAATAGTTTATATTTTTGTATATAAAAACATAAACTAAAATATAAATATATATATATATATATATACATATATATATAATATACACTTGATTTAAATCACTAAACAATACATTGCGCATTTTCAAAGGGTCTTTAACTTTTAATTGAATATTATTTTAAACGGCTGACACTGAATGCATTATTGTCATGAAACAACGGCCAAAGCAAACGTGTACAAACAGTATCCTAATGTTCGGAACGCCAGGAAAGTAATCACATACTGTGTCATGTCATGCTTACATTTCTTTCAATAGCTGTTTCAATAATAATACCATAGCTACAATCAGAAGCGTAAACCATGAAAAAGTCCCACTGGTCGCTGATGGCCTGGTTTGAGTTCTATTTAAGTTCAATGCCAAGCCTTTCTACGTGCGTGCGCGGTTATTCAGGAGTTGTTGTAATTATCATATACCACGTCAACAATGGTATTTTTAATTTTGAACTACAATCGTTTTACATTTCAAATTTGTCAACATTGAGTGGATATTTTTGTATATGTATGTTGGTGTAAAAAATAGTTTTTTTTGTTTATCTTAAATATTTTAAAAGTACAATACACAAACAGTGATTAATTGTGCAAAAAAATATTAATTTACTGTTACGCCATGCATCAATTTTTTTGCTCCCGACAATTTATTGATTAAATCTTCTTTAGCTTCCGCCTCACCCATTTTGACATCATCTTTATACTTTTTAGCCATTTCTGTAATCAAAGCGTCCAAGTTTTCAAACGTTATATTTCTGTAGATATCAAAATTTTAAATGTTTATAAATTTTGCATTGACAAAATTTCAACACAAGACAGGTATTTCAAAAAAACCTAGCGCCTTTGGCTTTGGCTTTTGAAAAAGAAATATCAATATGGTTTGAATTGCAGTTTTTTCCGACAACTCCTGCATCTTTGCACCACTTTGTAAAATCAGCAGTTGTTTGTTCCTTTCCATCAGCTTTTGTTGCAAATTGTTTAAATGCTTCAGCCAAACTTCTTGCCATTTTTAAGCTGAAAATAATTTGAGAATTGAATGCTTCCGTTAACCAGCGTTAATTTGAAATGTAATTCATAAGATAAAGTTCCTATGTATAAAGTTTCTCAAAACACTTGTCTATTTAATTTTTTGTGTTTTTATCAATAAGAATAAAAAAAATATTTTTGCAGTTTTCAAACCTAAATGCTAAATCAGACAATAATACGTAAATTTTTCAAAAACAAAACAAAAATGTATAAAAATAAATAAAACGCTGTTTTAATTTTAACGATTTAACAAATTTTTTAAGTTTCATTTTAATTCAAGTCTTAAAGTTTAAAATTTATTTATTAACAAACCATTTTAAAGTTTAAAGCTTTTTAATTAAACCAACGACATTTTTAACTTATACTAGCATTATTGAAATTATATTTTCGATATACAGAAATTGTTTAAGAATTTATCGACAATTTATATAATGTACATACGCGTAATAAATGAAAGCCTCACCTTTTTGTTCCTTTTTTTGATTTCGTCTTTTAGTAAGCGTTGCTATGTAAATAAAACATCACCAGGTCACCATGAATACAGTGTTATAAAAATGGTGCGTTCATTTCCACCATATAATAGGAATTGTATTGTGAAACTGAAAATAAGTTTAAAAAATATATAAAACCATATATGTAGAATAAAAAACAAAACGAGAAATTTAAATTTGGTATCGTTTTATTAAATGTTTAAAAAAACAAACCCAGACATTTTTCGAGAAGAACGTCTTTTATTCATTTATCGCAATTTATCCATGCTAAACCATTTATCTTCAGAATATAAGATAAATTATCTGATATTCTGTATATTTTATTTTATAATCTAAGTATATGTTTATATCTCAATGTGTCGGTTATAATATTTAATAACATAACAATATGTACGACTAAAGATTTCATGGTATTTGATATATCCAAGCATTGTTCCTACGTATTCTTCCCATTATAAACTTAACATTCAATAGCAGAATTGACGTCCTGCGCCTATTATAATTGTAATAAGAAGACCAAAAGTTAATGATATCCAAAGTGTTAAAGATCGGGTTTTGTCGAGGTCGATTGTCCCAACGTATTCTTCACATTGTAAACTTTATATTAAGCAAGAACAGAATTGACGTCTTGCATACATTATAATTGGTGTTAAGAAAACCATGCTGATTTTACAATAAAATAACTTACTTTTAGTTTCTCTAAAATTGTATTTTTCAAAAAAACAAATGAATAAATAAAGTCCGACTCGTAACCAGCAAACGGCATGTAACACATTTACTAGCAGAAGGCGTAAACAATTAAAACGGTTGTTAAAGTCCCGAAGAAGGCGTAAACAATTAATCCCGGTCGATCAATGACAATATATTGTTATAACTGACTCCTTGAACTTTTAGGGTATGGTTATTTCTCTCTACGTGGATTCTTGACTCCTGAACAGACTTATTTCAGATGACTTTATTAGAAAGAAAACAGTGCTGGCAATCACTTGTGTGTATTGCGGTGATCAATCACTCGTTTATTCAATCGATAAAATCGTTAAAATACAGCACAATAACTAATCGACAGATAAATCACAGAATACAACTATTTAGTTAATCTTCTCTTGTCAGACTAATTACAATAAGTTCTCTAGCCCTGGTATTTTTTACTGTAGTGAGTTTCCAGCTATCAAAATCTGACCTCTGTCACCATTGTGTAATCTCCTGAAAATCCCACTTCTAACACCATTGTTGTAACCTCTTCGACCTCGTAACTACCAACACCGATGTTATAGCTTCAATACTCGCTATACCTCCAACACCGTGTTGTAGCTTCCAACGACAGTCAAGAGTTCGTTTATCAGTAGGTTTAAGATTTCCGATAGATGAACACAACTATTTTAAACGCAAACTAAGTTAAACGTTTATTTAATACCAGCAGTAATAGAAACAATAAATTAACCAAATAACTACGTAAATCACATTTACGAATTCTACGCCAACTGTTGTTCCGTCTTCTTCTTACCTGTTCTCCGCCTTTTGCTTGTGTGTCGCTTGCCGTGTAACGGGACTTTTACAACCGTTTTAATTTGCAAGCCCTTCGTGCAATTTCTAACTACTATTTCTTATCTCGCCTTCACGTTTCTAACAATCTGATTATCCCGGAAATTGTAGAAAAGGCTTTTTCACAAGCTGCAACCCTGGTTAATATACGCTCGAGATTCCGTATATCCTTTCCACCATGATATTTTCCAACCACAACTGAGCGCCAGAACAGTGAACCTGCTGTCGACCTGACACCAACAACAATACCAAGTCCTCCTCTGAAACCCACATTGTCAATCAGCAAACAATGAATTCTGTCATTTTTTCTGAACCGGCTGCAACCGGATGTAACGGGAACAGAAATTGTGTATGTACCATTACAAACTATTCTTATTCTTGATATTGATAAATACATATTTATTTGTTTGCAATTCAGCTATTTTAGCATGTTGTTTTTATTATATGTAGCAACCAGCATAAATTCAGTTGAACACCGAAGATAATCAGGCCATTCAAAAAAGCTGGACCGCAAAATTCGATTAAAGAAAATCAAAGAAAAGGCAAGACTCTTGACTGATACACCAGTGAAAGCAGAGTTGGAAGTTTGTCAGCGGGCTTGTGAATTAAAGACCAAAAAAAGAAAAAATATTTTAATTTATCATAATCAACTGAAATTAAGAAAGCTAAGTTGTTGCAGAAGCAGAAAAAAAAGTAACACTAATATTCCGACAATCACGACTGACGACAAAACACCTGAAGCATACTAGCTAATGTACCTCCATTTGAAGACTGGAGAGAATGTCCGTCCTGCGAAGAATGGTTCCATAAACTTTGCTGCCTAGAGAACTCGGTTTGTGCTATTCATGTCTATATGGCTATTTATTAACTTTAGTTTCGTGTTTGGCGCTATTATTTTGAAAATATAACTATTCTATTGAATTAGAAGACAAAGATATGATGAAGCACCTGTAAATACTGAAGAGAATAATGGTCTTACAGCATTTGGGAAGAAAAAATTTAAAAAACCATATTCGTACATTGTGCTTTACATTTATTAAACTTAGTCTTAAGTAAAGCTTGTTGCATTCAAGACATTAATAAATGTCTTGAATTTGTTGGGAAAATGTACACTTTTTCGAAACACCAAAACAAAACGTTGTCTTTTCAGCCAAAATCGATGAATATACTTTTTTTCGTGCCTTATTCTTTCAGGACAACCTCACTCCCAACCCGGCGCTAAATCAACAATAAAAACAAAGAAGTAATAAAAACTAGCATTGTAAATAATGACAAAGAAGAATATGATGCTATCGATGAAGAAAAGGAAGATGGACCAGCCAATAAAGAAATCTAACACCTAATTTCCATCTAAGTTCATTTTCACAAAGTAAATATTTCCCTATATAAAATCAACTTGCACTGATAATGATTCATTCGAAATCGAAATATGGCCTTATTTTCAGCATGAATTTGGAAAATAAGTTTATTTTGAATTTTAATAAACTAAACGTTTTCCAATAAACTTTAGTGAGAAAAATCGAAAAAATGAACTACAAACATATTAACGCCAAACATTCGGTAGAATTTATAGAATATTATAAATATATAAATATAATAGAGATAGATATATATATCTTAACACTTGTATCTATGACAGTCTTAAACGATAGTAAACTTAAATCAAAATTTCTTAAATAAGATGAATAAGATGGCACAGTGGGACCACAAACAAAAAATTTTTTTCTCCAATCCTTAGCTTAGTAGTTGGTACCGTCAAGAGATTAGAGTTGTTTGATTTGAGTTGAACAGCTCCCAACATAACTTTTGGTGGACATCTGCTGATCAAGTGTGGAAGTGCACATTTAAACATGATGACGGATATTTTGAACATTACTCTCTTTTCTATTGTCAGCTTGTGTAACTATTTGAACAGAGGAATAACATGATCAAACTTTGCAGCACAAAAAAAAACAATTCTGAATTGTTTGCAACATTGCGATTGATTTACTAAGCAGACCATACAAAATACTGTTGCTGTAATCTACCCGCGAATGAATAAAAGCATGCACCAAAGACTCTGAAAGTTTTTTTATCTAATGATTTTCTTATTATCTTCAATTTGTGCAACTGTCCGGTGTAGGCACTTGTCAGAGACTTTATATGACCATTCTTAGTCATATTAGAATCAAATATTTGAATATTAACCCCAGATTTATTGCCTTGGAACAAAATTTTATATTCATTCCATCTATCAAAACTGATTTTACTCATCTTAGGGAGCTGTTGCTAAGTTTCCATTGAGAAAATCTGAGTTTTGCATTTATTGAGCCGCAGTCGATTTTCTGACACCCAGTCACTGATCTCCGCTAAGCAATTGACAAGTCTGAAATAATATTAAATTCATTCGATGATCCATTTGCAATTACCTGTACGTCATCGGCATAAGCGTGACCAACCAGTCTATGTTGTTCAATAATATTAAATATATCTGATGTGTACATCAAGAACAACAGCGGTCCCAACACAGAGCCCTGTGGTACCCCTGACGAAGCTATCTGAACAGGGAAAGATCGTTCATAAACAAAACCTGTTGTGTACAATATGATATGTATGACTTGAACCACTCATGAACAACGCCTGATAAACCAAATCTAAAGGCTAAGCACTTCAAGAAAATATCATGGTCCACACGGTCGAAGGCTGTACTCATATCTAAAAACGCTAGTAGACATGAGCACCCGGCGCCCATACTTTCATACAAAAATGATAAAACATTGAGTAAAACATTGTGTTTGTTTTAATTATTTTACTTCACAATAAAGTGTCTTGTTAGTAGCAGAACGCTCGTACTAACATGCCGTTTCGGTAGTATGGTGTTGTCTATAACCTGATTGTAGTGAAGGCAGTAGATCATTACGTTCTAAATGTTTCACCAATTCACCCGACACAAGTTTTTCCATAATCTTAGATATAAATGAAAGGTTTGAGATCAGTCTGAAACTGTTCAAATCATTTATATTCATGCCTTGCTTTTTCAAAACTGGTAAAACAACACCATGTTTTTACTTCATTGGGAATGCACTCAAACTGAAACACAGGTTGACAAAACCGGTCAAAAAATTGGAGAACAATCTAACATGCTGCTTGAAAATGTTCGCCGGCAAACAATCCAATGTATCTATTCGATTTAGATGGGGAGTTATTACACTACTTTATCTTCAGAAAACATTCGAAAATTATAAAATAAATTTTCATCTCTTATTCCCAAATCTGTAAAACTTGAACATTTTGCTTCATTTGTCGAATTTTTAACTTTATAAATTTTTTCTTTAAATAAATCTAAGAACTTTTGAGCTGAGTGATCAGTCGTGTTTTTTAAATCGTCCGCCCATTTGTCTTTGCACAACAATCTATTGATAAAAGCCCATTAGCGTTTAGGGTTGTTACTATTTTGACAAATTACATTTTTCCAATAAGTGTTTCTTTGTTGTGCAAATGTAGAACTTTTCATAGTTAGGGCACTAATCTAGTTTTTCCTATCTTTATCATTCAACGTTTTTCTGAATTGTCTTTCTAATTTTCTACATTTCGTTTTTATCCTTCGACAGTCAGAATCAAACCAGAGTGTCAACAAATCATTTCTGATTTCAATTACATGCAGGGAGCCTTTTATATCAGTGATTTCTCTCATTTCACTATAAAACAAATGCAGCAATTCATCAGCATTCTTCTCCAAACATGCTTACTAATCGGCGATTCTTGGACCAAGGAAACAAATTGATAATGATTCATCTTTTTCCAAGATCGAACAGTTTTTCTCATTCTTGTTTTTACATCTTGTTTAACCGATAGACGCGCCTGAAGCAAAAAAATTATCCGAAAAATGACTGTGTAAAAATACTTCGATCTTGGCAGGGAATGAACCAGAAGTAACAGTCAAATCCAAAATCCCTCCTTTTTCATGAGTTGTGTCACAAGTTCTGTTTATTAAATTAAAATGTTCAAAAACATCACTTAGCGCAGCAGCATGACGGTCATTGTGTTTCTCCATGTGCACATTGATATCCCCAGCTAATATAATGTTGTTTTCAATTAACTCAATTACTTCCAGTACAGAGACAAGTTCAGCAAAAAACAATGTAGGTGAAACTGATCCAGGTCTGTACACAGTCAGACAGACAATGTTAATGTTGCTAATTTGTAACTTTATGGCAAGGGCTTCAAATGTAATAATTCTCGGTAGCTCAATGCATTTGAAACTGTAACATTTTCTAAAGTAAGTTATTCAACCGCAATGAAGAGGATCACTCTGTCTAACACAGTCAAAAAAAACATATTCTGCTATCTCAGAACTAGATCGTCAGAATCAAAATATCTATGCCATCGTCAAGTATTTCATGAATTTTGTTGAATTTGGTAATTATGGATCTAATATTTAACAATCCCAGTATAGTTCCATTGCCATTCGTATTAAAATTATTATTGCAGTCGACATTCGAAGTTTTGTTACCATTACCATCATCATAGCCATTATTTTTTCGTTTTTTAATAAAATTTTAATCGTTACTACCATTATTGCAATCATTATTATTACCAAATTTTGTTAGAATTATTATTAACAATACTATCATTATAACCATTCTTGTTAAAATGTTTGTCATTATTACCATTAGTTTTATAATTACTGTTAGCATCATCGTCACCACTACTTTTATTACCCAATTTTTTGCCAAAATTTTTATCACCATTAATTTTATTATATCCCCGTATAAAAATTTTCCATTACTCCTCTTCTTGTCATCACTTTTGTTAAAATCAACATCATCATTATGACCATTTTTGTTGGAATCATCATTACCACCGCCAATATTACCATCATTACCATTAAAATTATTACCTCAATCAACCTCACTGCCATTATTATTATCATTTTTGTTAATAGAGTTATTACGACCATCGATAAAATTATTTTTTTCACCGTCATTATCACCTATTTCTTTATTAGAGTCATCATCACCATTGTAGTTTCAAAGACTGTCATAGCGGGAGGTGGTGATGAGGTTAAGCTTAAACCCTAACCCTAACCCCGATGGCGTGCGTCTCAAATAACCTCTGACAGTCAAAGTCCAACTTCTGGCCTTCTCGTGGCGAAACTGTTTAAACTAACAGTAAAAGGGGCGAAGGCGGATAACTAGCGCTTCAAAAATAGTCGCTTCGGGTTGATGGGGCTCGTCGCCCATCCATCTAGGCGAAGGTAAACTCTGATTTCAAACCTCCACTGCCTTGTGGCTATACCCGTTCTAGGGAAAGGCTAAGGGAGTAAACCCTAACAGAAAATCAGGCGTGGTAGTGCGTCTTTAAAATGATATGGTTGTTTCAACCTCTACTCGGCTTGCTACTCATCCACGTTTGTCTGGCGAACAACTGGGAACTACTACAACCAAAGTATTGTCCAAAAATCTGCAAAAAACAACCAGAATCGGCTCTTGGAACATTCGCTCACTTTGCGCAACGGGTGGCGCAAAGATCCTCGTAGACGAATTTTCGCGATACGGTATATGCATTGTGGGGCTGCAAGAAGTTCGATGACATGGCGCTGGTAAACTGCGTGTTGCTGATTTTAATATACTGTGGTTAGGTCCAGCTGAGGGTCATCCCAGGCTTGCTGGTGTTGTCTTGGCCCTGAGCAATCAGACTAATCGTTCATTGATTAAATGGCACCCGATCAGTGAAAGGCTGATGTTTGCTCGTTTCAGACATCGATATGGTGCTATGTCAGTAATTGTCTGCCGGTTGATTAGTGACGGAAGCGGAAAGCTAAAAAGATGGCGAAAATACTTCAGCCAGTTGCTCAACCGCCCTCGCAGGAATTGATTGATTTTGCTGAATCCACTGCCCCAGACCTCGAGATTGACACTGAACCCCTTTACATAGCTGAAGTTGTCACGGCTATTGGAACGCTAAAGAGCGGCAAGGCACCAGGCTTGTGTAACATTCACCCGGAGATGCTTAAATCAGGTGGACTTATGTGTGCTAGTTGGCTGCACTCCGTCATCACCCGGGTGTGGCAGTCTGATGCGGTCCCGGTTGGTTGGAGGAAAGGTATCATCATTCCGTTTTACAAAGGTAAAAGATTGCGCCGTGAATGTAAAAACTGTAGAGGCATCACTTTGATGTCAGTTCCAGGTACAGGCAAAGTGTTTGCCCGCGTCCTTCACTCTCACTCCTTTTACAGACCAGACGTGAATTTGGTAGACCTCTCTGGATTGCCTACATTGACTTGAGAGCGGCTTTTGATTCAGTCAACAAGGATGCTATGTGGCTGTTGTTCAGGGGTCTGGGCATCCCTGATTACTTGTTAAAGCTACTTAAGGCTCTATACACCCACACCTTGAGATGTGTTAGATCGGAATGGCGATGCTATCGGTGGTTCGAAATTGATATCGGCGTCAGACAGGGGTGTATACTTGCGCCGGATGAGTTTTTGGCCCAGATGGATTTGATCATAGAGCGTTCCGTGCACAAAGGTATGCTCGGCGCCACAATCGGCAAGGAGGTGTTCATGGACCTGGACTATGCAGATGAAGTCGCTCTGCTGGCTGAGATGCAAGATGTTTTCATACTGTCGTTGACTGGTATGTCCAAAGAGACAAAGCCTTTTGGTTTAGAAATCAACTAGACACAACAAAAATTCAGGCAATCTCTGGGCGGTTCACCACCCGCGTCTGTCTCTGTGCTGGGTAATGACGTACAGATTGTGGATTCGTTTCCATATCTCAGCTCACAAATACACTCGTCAGGCAGTAGTGATGTTGAAATTTTGCGTCAAATCATCATTGTTCGCGGTTGTATGAGGTTCCTGGATCGTGGTATATGGCACTCGGGCATTTCGGTGACGACCTAAGTTCGAGTGTATAACGCATATATCATTCCCGTGCTACTCTATGGATGCGAGACGTGGTCAACTACTGTCGCTCATTTGAAGAGGCTAGACGCTACAGATCAATAGTGCTTGCGCAGGATCCTTTGTTTGACCTACCGCGATCGCGTCACCAATGTTGAGGTGAGGAGAAGAACACAGCAGCCCTCCGTTTCCTCACTCCAGTTCAGGCATCGTCTAAACATTTTTGGTCACATAGCTCGTGCCAATCCCATGGAGGATCATTACCGGGCTTTATAAGCTGTCATAGACCGACCACTACCGGACTGGACTCGACCGCGCGGCCACCTAAGAGGGTCATGGATCCGCTTAGTGGAGAAGGACCTGTCCCTTATCAACTACGGTCCTTACTCGGCCCGGAGACTTGGAAGCACTTTGTAAACACGGCAGCGTCCTGTTATGGGGCACGCCTATAATAATAATCATCATTATTATTTCCCTTTGCATCTTTACTACCAGTACCATAACCATTATTATTTCCGTTAGATTTACCAGCACCAATATCATCATTATCATCACTTCCGATAGAATCATTCTCATCAATTTCTTCACTGACTCTTATAATGGTTAAATTTTGTATTTCACGATCCGCCATCTCCCGACTTGTCCCCTGACCTAGTAAAAAAAACCGTCTTTTCAGGACGCTTCTTTGATATCGCATCTACAATCAATTTCTTTAATTCACTTCTCTGTTCAGGTGTTAGATCATTGCTGATCCATACTTTATTCAGTTTAGTTTAGCTGACATTGACTTTAATTTGTATGTATTTCTCATCACTGACTCTTTTTAAGTCTTTAGACATTAGACTATCAAACGCTACTAATACTGCGCGCATGGATGAAATATATAAATATATATAAATATACATATATATATATTTGCGTGCGTGTGTGTGTGTGGTGTGTGTGTATGTGTGAAAAGATCAAACGTGAAAATTTTCAAGTTTATCAAGGTATTAAGGAAACAAAAAACTTCACTTTTCCACATTTCTCATTTCTTACAATTCGAGATCTAATCTAAAAAACTTTTGAATACATTATTAAAAACAAATAAAAATGAAAAGGTGTTATACAAATTTCGAGATCCAATACGAATAATTAAACAGTTTTTTTTCTCTATTCTGTTGTAAGATCACCAGAAAATAAACTTGCCATTCGTGATATTAATTAATAATGTAATTGTTAAAATATCAATGTTGAAAGATCACTTCAGGTCGGTGTGTCACCTTGATGAGAGCTGTTGAAAGTTAAATAAAAAAAATAAAATGCACGGCTTTGTGTTCTCTATAGACCGTGGAGGTACGTTCACGGATTTGTGGGCCAGGTGCCCAAATGGAAATACGCACGTTCTTAAATTGCTCTCCGAAGATCCGAGAAATTATGCAGATGCTCCGACAGAAGGAATTCGTAGAATTTTAGAAAAGGTACAAAAAATTAAATAAAATAATGATCTCTATAGTATAGTATAGTCTATATAATAGCGATTCAATTCTAGATTTCATGATCAGTTGATCCAAATAAAATAAAACGAAATAATTATCATACTTCAAATTTTAATGTTCAATTAAACATTAATTGAGAACTTGCTAGTTCAAATTGTGCATGTATGTATGTATGTATGTATGTATGTATGTGCTAATGTATGTACTATGTATGTACATTACAATAATTTTGTTTTAATTTTTGGGGTTGGAGGATTGAGATTGAACAAAACTTTGCATTTAACTATTTATCATGAGGATTAAAAAACATTTAATTTAATTAATACATTTGAATTATTCAAGGCCTTTTAATATTTAAAATGTTTTTTGTATTATTTTTAAAAAAGCTGTAATAAATTGTAGTAGGCTGGTGATTTAGGCAATATGAAATAGAAAAATGAAGAATGACTAAGAGTTTGAAAATGATTTAATTAATTTATTTATTTATAATAGAGTAATATAATAGGATTTTTAAAAAGTAGTGGCATATGGAAAAATAAGTCATGTTTTTTACAGAATTAACTAGAGTTGATAAAGAGCATTCACTTTGATGAGTCAACAAATTGGGATTAGAAATAGAGTGATAAAGTTAATAAGAGGTTTTTGGATATAAATATGAATAATATGAATCAAAAATAGGGATATGAAATAATGTAGCAATAAATAACTTTTATTCTTGTTGCAGACAAGAAAACATGAATGTGATTGAAATAACCATTTTCATATAGAAGAGTGCTTGAGTGCTTTTTGCAAAGATATAAAAATAATTATTAGTTGTTTTGATTTAATTCTGTTGTAGAAACGAAATGGCTCATAAACATGAAGTGATTTGCAGGTTTTGATGTCAGCTGCATGTAACATAGCAGCTGTTTATACATTCTTTGTAAAAGTTTTAGTGTCAAACAGCATTTGTGGGTTCAGGATAATTTTGTGCCTTGCTCAATCTTGGAAAATGTGAAGGAAAGTATCAAGATAATTGCTATGAGTTCACTATAGGCACAAGAAAATATATTATAGTGGTGTAAAAAATAAAACACAGAAACATTTACTGCCTAGCGTGATATATTCAATAAATCTTTTTTATATTTTATGACATGCCTTCAAATTATAATAACTTAATACATTTTTATTAAATTATTTATATCTGTCTAGTTTGATTTTTTTAAACAATCATTGTGAATTAAATTTAAATTAAACATTAATGCAACAATTTATATTTAATAAAAAGCTATATGAATGTGACCTTGATGCGAGATGTGTATTGTAATGAAATAATTAGAGAGAAAGAAAGAGGAACTGAGTCTACTGCATAGATTGTAGTTAAAAAATGTTTTCAATAAACTTTTTGAAGAAATAGAGCTTTGGCTAAATAATGGCTCTAAAATAATTTTTATAAAATAATGTCTAAATAATGGTTCTAAATTAATTTTTTAATTTTTTTAAATTAAGGTAATGTCTTTCAAATGGCACTGTTTTTAATTGACAAAGTTAAGTGATGCTTCATATGAATTGTGCACAAATGCTAATCATTCATATTCTATCATTTTTGAATTTGCATCAAAGTTTTCATCATCATGATAAAATAATGATTGATACATTTTTTTGAAAGTAATACACACTGATTTTTTGCATTCGGTTTCTAATACAAACCTTTGAGACTAATTACTTCAGGAATTAGGTATTAAGTTGATGAGGAATCAACCAATAAATGGAGATTTTATAGAATGGATAAGAATGGGCACAACTGTTGCAACTAATGCTTTATTGGAAAGAAAGGGAGAGCGAATTGCAGTCATTATCACAAAAGGATTTAAAGATGTCTTCATGATCGGTGACCAATCCAGAAACAATCTTTTTAATTTGGTTTGTAAACATTCAAAATAAATTTTTCATTTTTTTTATTTGTTTATTTTTTGTTTATTTTTTATTTGTTTATTTTATTAATGATTATATTTGAATAATTTGTCAGTACTCAAATGCATTGTTTGTGCACTTGAAAAATATATTTTTGCATTGGCATGTTTAACAAATTTTATTAGAATTTATGGTCAGGTTGATGAACAAACTCTGGGTGCCATACATAAGTGTAATAACAGTTGCATCTTTGCTAAACCAAGAGACTTTTTTGTTTCTTGGGTTGGCAATATTTTAGCCCTTTTGCACAAGTCTATCTTACTTTTCTCAAGCCATTTCAAGGCACTGTTGAGAATAATTTGGAGTCTCCTGCATCATGACTGTTTATTGGTACACCATTTGAGTCCTTAGCAACACATCTAATAGTTTATATAACATAAGAAAACATTAGTTTGTCAAAATATTTTTGTCAGAAAAGTATGCAATTGACCAAAACCCATTTCTTAATGCTATCTTTCTTAAACCTTTCTTAATATAGGCTTTATGCGAATAAATTTTCATTGAAAAATTTTATACTCACGTCCATCTTAGTTAAATTTTTTTAGCTGTTTCAATGCACCTGCAGGTTTTTGGACATGCAGAATCAAAGAGGCAATCACAAAGGATAAAAGTCTCATACATTTTAACTTTTTTGAACTTTTTGTCTGATTTAGAACGTTAAATCCCAGTTAGTAAAAAAATATGCATGATTCTGCTGTCGACCTTCCATTTTAACATTTTGACATTTTAATTACTTTGCCTGGCATAAATATAGAACGTTTTAAAAAACTTTGGAGATAAATCTGTGCCGTCAAGCTTGTCAGTTTTTGAAGGTGTCAAGGTCTTTAATACATGGTACATTGTAGACATGCTGGTTTTATGCTTTCTACAGCTTTCATATGGTTCTTCTGTGAACACTTGTGATTTTCAAATTGTCCCAAACTCTTTACATATTTGAAGGACCACACCTATATTGTATCACTTAGAACGTTCGAAGATGCTTCAAGTTTGGCGTCATTTACAATATTTTTTTAACGGAACATCTTTTTTATTCTACGTGTGAATTCAATCCTATTTCGTGATGATTATCTTCCAACCGAGTCGAGATAGTTTGAGTTTTTTCGTTGACTACAAGTTTTTTTGAGGACGGGACGTTTTCGGTAAAACAAAATTTGCTAGTGACGAGGTTATTACCTTGTTGGTCAAGGACGGTCTGACCGGTGAACAGTTGGTGCCCGTGAAAAAAGCCGAGGAACGCGGCCACCTGAGGTCATCAGGCCATGGGAATTTGGTCATTCCGGCGTTTCGATCTTTAAACTTTGAATGGCGGAGATTTGCGGTGATGTGGTTAAAGTTTGGAACTCACTTCCCTTGCAGTTGAAGGATGGTTTCATCATTTTTTACAAATAAAGATTAAAGGTTAAAAAAGGTTAAAGGTCAATTACACTCTTCCAAAGTTCAGAGGATTTAACAATACGCACAAACATCGTGTTAAACGACGCATCACACACGAAGCATGTGATAGGTGGGGGGGGGATCTTTTTACCACATTCGAACCCTGTTACTGCGAAACAGCTCCAGGCGACCTTAACCACTAGGCCATCACAAAATAACTTAATGAACATAAGAAAATTGCATCAGAGGCATTTATGAATGAGTGGCTGATCTTTAATAATAATAATAATAACTTATATAGCGTTAAGGGCAAGCAACTGAAGCGCTCTCTGCCAGACAAGCTAGTGCAACATGATATATGATATAAAATGGAAATTACCTATAAAGCCAAACAATTAGAAATAATAGATATAATGTTGTTTAAATGTTATTAGCTATTATAGCAAGAGTAAAAAGATAAGTTTTTAGTTTTTTCTTAAAAGTAGCCAGTGAAGAACAGGTTCTAATATGACCTAGTAATGTGTTCCAAATTGATGTTAAGAATGACGGAAAGCACGGTTAGCAATGTTGGTTGACACATGTTGCTTGACTATTGTAGGTGCTTTGAATTTGGATGAACGCAAGTTTCTGTTGGATTTTTTTTTGGCGATTAGATTCCTTAAGTAAATTGGCTGTGATGTTGAAAGTGTCTTGAATGTTATTGTAGAAACTTTAAAACTTAAGAGAGCTGAAGAAGCTACTTTGTGAAAAACTAAATGACATTTTAAAATATAAAACTTGATCAAAATTTTAACTTCGAATTACCTGTTGATGATTTATTCAGTTATAAAATAAAAACACATGAAGCTACATAATCATGCAATTAATTGAAAAGCTTGCAGCCATTTGATAATTTTCTAGTTCAAATCATTTTTTATTGGCTAAATTAGGCGATAAATTTTGATAATAATTTATATTGTGAGCAGCTAACGATTATTTTAGAATATAGAAAACATGGACATATTGTACGACGACATCGTAGAAATTAATGAAAGAATCGTCTTGAAGCAAGACAGTTGTCAGCTGAACACAACTTTCAAAACAGTCGAGGCAAACACTGGAGAAAAGGTTACTTGGCATTGTTCAATGTCTTTTTGTATATTTAGAAATATTTTCTCTAGATGAGTATTTGGTAGGCAAGTGATAAGTTGTTATTAATTACGATTAAGCATGAATGTGCAGCACGTTGAAGTACTATTTGTTAAAGAATATCGTAAAAAAATTATACCATATATTTTCTTTCAAATTACACTTATTTAATACGTCAAACCACATTAATAATAAGGTTTTGGTTGAAATTCTTTTTGTTGAATTTCTATCTTTATTCAAAATGATTTGGTTTTGTCTCTTTCTATATCTAATTCTTTTATCAGTTTCTGGTAACGATTACACAACATTTTAAGATTGTAAAAAATGTCTTCTCTTATTTTCTTCCAAAATGTTGCATATTAACGCAAATGCGAATTCTTCTATCTTATATTCTTCTAAAACCAAACCATTTCTAACATTTAAAATATGATTTCATAACTGAGTTAATGAGCATACCATACAAATTTTAATTCAAGTAATGACGGTAAAGATAATTTTTTTTAAACATAAAGCTTAAAATCTTTTATTGGCATTTGAAATTGAGGATGCATGGCTAATGCGTTTCATACTTTTATTCTATTTGTTGTCCAGATTCTATCATAAACAGACGTTCTACAATTTTTCCATACAATGTTGAAATGATTCAATGTTGTCTGGTCGTGACGTAACGTTACTAAAAATATTTAAATGCCCATAATTTCCATAAAAAGAATTTTATAGATAAAAATCGATAATATGTAATTGTATAGTTGCTCAATCTTAAGAATTTGGTGCCTGCGAAACAAGTGATCAGCATAGTCGATTGAAAAACAAGCGTGTAAAATTTTTTACATAACTAACATCTTATTCATTTCATATTTACTCAGGGATCCACAAAAACATTTCCATGCAAAAAATATGGGTTAAAAACGAATAATAAAGCATGATTATGGATTCAACTTTCAACCTATTTCTCGTTCTAAATAATATTCCAACCATCTGGTGTAATTTTTTTTACTATTAAGTTTAAGTGATTGGTCCATTTCAAATCACATTGCAAGACAATGCCCAAAAGTTTTATGGAATTCACTCTTGGTAGCTCAACAACCTGAATATACAACTTTAAACTGTCTAATGACAAACTATTGGTGTTTATCTTTGGGCCGAAGATAATATAGCATGATTTTCTTAAGCTTAATGCCAATTGTTTTAACAAAAACCTGCCACAAAATTTTTTGATTTGACCATTCATTTTGATGAAGAGTTCTATTGGATTCTTTTCGGATAAAAAATATTGTTATCATAGAATAAAATTGCGATACATTTGTCAGATACGTTAAAAACGTCGTTAACAAAAATCATAAACAATAAAGGACCTAGTATCGAGCCCTGGGATACTCCAGTTTTGGTGTTTAAAGGAGGAGACACTATATTATCAATTGTAAAAATACTGACGACGATTGGAAAGATAAGATTTGAACTAATTCAAAACAACTCCGCGAAATCCATATATAAACTGTTTATGGAGTACAATTTTATGATCATTTATATCAAATGCTTTTTCTAGGCCAATAACAATACCTAAACTAAGGTTTTTTTGTTCAAAATTTTCAAAAAATGACAAATGTAGCTCTGTTATTGCCTTTTCAGTTGTGGCTTTTGGTACAAAGCCATATTGACATCTATTGATCCCCCTATTTTCAATCAAATGATTCCACATTCGATTGAACATTAGTTTTTCAAAAATTTTGGAAAAAACCGGCTATATTGAAGTTGGACGTTAGATTTCAAAAAGTTTTGGATCGCCATTTTTAAAAATTGGAATGAATTATGCCATTTTCAAGCTATCAGGAAATATGCTCAGTTTAATTAAGTCATCAAATAATATAGAAATTTGACCAGCGATATGATGTATAGTGTGTTTGAGAATACTGGCAGAGAGGAAATCACCATCAGGTGTTGAGTTGTGTGGAAGAAATATACGACTATTAGCAGTTTCAATCTGATTGAGATTAGTTTTCAATTGCTTAGAATTTGCCACCCTACTGATATTTACACCAATTTCCACAAAAAATTTATTTAATTTGGCAATAATGTTTAGCTTGGAAGTATCGTTTGTATTTTTTGGAAATAATATTTTGCCAGATTTGCGAGAACCTAAATTTTTATTTATAATTTTCCATTTGTGCTTTGCTTCAATCCATTTTCAAAAAATCTTTTTTTGGTTAATCTTTTAAAATTTGTAAATTTATTTCTAACTTTTATATATGTGTCTTTATTTGAAGACGATAAATATGTGGATATCCTTTGTAAAGTGTATTTTTATGCAATGAAAATTCTTCCATGGCTTTCGAAAACGACTTTTTTATTTATAAGTGGGCATGTTGAATTTCTGCAATTTAAATAATGTTTTAAAAAATTATTGAAGTTGGAATCAAAATCTGGCCTTTTTTCACTCGAGTGTCATCGATCAACCTATAACAAACAATTGGCATTCTTCAGTTTTTCAGAATTCAACATATTTTATTTTTTTGTTTTATCATAAGTGCTGTTGCGCTTGATAGGTTTATTGTTCAATGGCAAACAAAGAAATATAGGCAAATGGTCAGATATATCATTATATAAAATTTCTTTTGAACAGTTCCCAATATTAAATTGGTAAAAATGTTATCAATAACTGACGAATGGTTATCAGTTATTCTGATTGGTTAGTTTATAATATGATGTAAATTAAGCTGAGCCGTAAGATCCATGATGGAGAAAGAAGTCTGGCTCCTCAGTGCCAAATTTATATTGAAGTCGCCAACAATAAAAACATTACTGTCGACATTGACTTTCATGAAGGTATAGAGAAATTCATACATTTTGTAAAAAATAAAATCATTAAATTTATTTTTTGGTAGTCTATAAAAACATATTATAGCGCTTGTTTTGTTATTGAAATTAAATTGAATGCCTGATCACTCAAATTGCTCTATATCATGAGAAAAATTATAATTTAAATCCTCATATTCTAAATTTTTATCAGTTAAAAACCAGTTTCTTTGCCCCTTTTAAGCATCCTATTGTTTGGAACCAGATTATGACAAGGAAAATATTGTAATAGTGAATTGTGGGAAAGGTTTCGCTCAATGCAATGATTTGAGAAATATTTACGTACAATTGAAAATTTTTTATTGATAAAGATAGTTCATCAGCATGTGCAAACAAATAAAAAGAAATGGTACTTATTGACATTTTAAATTTTTATTAAATTTACAAGTTCAGAAAAATCAAAATATTGTTATGTTATTATGAGCACAATAATCATTATTAACAACAGTATCTAAGACATCAAATTCATTCAACACACAAAAACCTTTAAGGTCCACATCAATATGAACAGCATCATCAGTATCAATCTCATCACAGCCACGAAAAAACCACATCATTCTAAAGCACCAAATCATTACCAACCATCGCTTCATTACCATCACACCTCAGAGTCATTTTTCGCCAACCGGGATTTTCACAATTTTTCACCTTCCTGGGGACCTCACCCTGAATAAAAAATCTTCGATTGCTGCTTCCTGCTTTCTGGCTTTTTCAACCAAACTTTTCAACTCGATTCTTTAGCATTGTCGAGTTTAATAATCAATTTTCTAATTAAATTGTCAGCTTTGCGTCACAATCTTATCACTTTCATCCTATCCTTATCACAAACGGCTTCATCGGTCAAGTTCTTAAGCAGATGACTTGTTCGGATAACCGAAATATAATATTTGCTTCCTTCTCTTCAGCATCAGAAACTTCAACTAATGTTTTTTTGCCTATTTTTTTACATCAGCACTGATTGCTTCAATATTTGAATGAACTTCTGACTGACCACCCGAGCAAATGACAGGTACATCTGCACATTCAGCTTCCACATCTTGAGTTCAAGAGTTGAGTTTTAGTAACCGAGGTCGTTCATTTGTGGTTAAAACCGTTTTAATTATCTCAATCTCAGTCCTGATAGCAGTGTTCAGATAATTCAACGCATCTACTGCCAAAAGTTCACTATACAGCGAAAATATAACATCAGAATTCGATTGAATGCTGATATCGCATACTCATTTCAAGATGTTGTGGATGCGTATTATAGAAAAAAAAACGTCGTCAACTAAAGATTCACAGTCACACGAACTTTTGTGTTCGAAACATTTAAGAATTATCAAACATTGAGAGACATCTTTCACATGTTTAGACTTATCACGCGTATCCATTATAGAATGTTAAAACTATATTGTACAACCTTTACAAGTGACTGCTTGCTAATTATAATGTGTTTGTCTTTAACTCAAAACCAAAACAAAATAACAAAATTAAACAGATAATTCCACAATTTTGAATGATAAATAGAATTAAAACAAAATTTTGAAGCAAAATGAAACCGATATATTTAATTTTTAAAATTCAAATTACGTTTAAGCACGAGAAAATTATAGTTTTATTAGGGCAAAAAACAAACGGTCATTATCAACTGCGACAATCTATGATATGCCTTCTATGCAGTAAGTTGATTGAGGTGTTAATTGAAATATCTAACAGGGCACGTATATTTTTGAGCGTGAAATCTAAATATTAACTTCTTCAACTTTTGCAATTGAAAAGATACGTTTTTCTAGAATTAAGAGACGAAGATAAAAGAAAGATACAAAGAAAAGTGTTTAAAATTGAGTATTGGCAATAAGGAAGTAGGTGTTTAAATTGTAAATTTAGAGCAAATATTATCAAAGACAAAAACTTTAAAATTTGATATGAAAAGTAAATCAAAATTTTTATTAATATTGACATATGTTTTGATTACTACCATCATCTGATTTTGATCAAGAAACTTGATTCGTTTTAGCCTTATTAAGTTTTCTATTTGCTTATTTAATTTTTTTCAAAATAGTGATGGAATTGTAGTTATCAAATTAAAAAAAATATTCAGCTAGAGATATGGGAGGAGATTGACATGGAATCAGTTAAAGAGTTGCTTCTAAATATTTGGAAGAAAGGCATAAGACATTTAGCAGTCGCGTTAGTCCATTCTTATCTGTAAGTGTTTGTTTATAAATTTTTTGCCCAATGAAATTGACAATTTTTTCAATGTTAAGATATAACGCTCACGAAAAGCTTGTTGAGAAGATTGCTTACGAAATTGGGTTCGTCAGCGTAACTCTTTCATCTGAAAGTTGCCCTATGGCCAAATTAGTTCCGAGAGGTTCCACAGGTTGAATTAGATTCTTTGTTTAGATTTGATCAGTTTTTAATTGTCAATTCATTTTAGGTATTGCTTAAAAAATTCATGTTAGGTGATTTATCATCTTACTTTTGTTAACTTTGTTTTAAAAACCTTACGCTTTATACTGATTAATCATTTTCGCATGTTATTTTGTATCCATTTATCTAGTCAGCTATTTTAAGTCTCTCCATTGTAGATTTTCAGTGGCAAATTTAAGGAAGTGGAAGTGGAGAGGGAGGAACATGGAATGCAATATTCCTGCGAACTATAAAATATGTGCAAAAGGACGAATATAAGACAGCCTTAAAAACATTTTTCGTACAAAATAAATACAGACGATTTTACACTCACCGAGTCCGTCATTCCCCCGCTATAAAGTAACAAAAATCACATTAGATAATCTCTTCCAATTTAGATATCGGGATCTGCTTTATTTCGTTCCATCCTAAATAGGAAGAAGGTCTTTTAATGTTCGGTATTTTGCGACTCTTTATATATCTTATTCCTTTATATTGTTAATCTCCGAGGTATAGAATAATTCAGCGCATATTTTTGCGTCAATAATGATTTCAATAATGATTTTTCTAAGTAAAAACCTTATTTTTAAACACTTTTTATGCTTTCTTCATCAACTTTTTTCAAGTCTAAAATGATATTTAAGACATGTTTATTTGCAAGGTTTACCGTATATATCGCTTTAAAACATAAACCATATGTTGTTAAAAATGATAAAAATAGTAGCCACTATTTCCAGGTTCATTTTTATTTACTGCGCCAATTTCGAATCTTTTTCCTATTGTCAATTTTTGTAGCATCGCTTCTTTCTCTGTCAGCCTTTTATACCATATAATAAATCCTTATTGGCCGACTTTTTCGTTGACAAGTTTCGTGCATCCATGCCATTTTGAACTGCCGCTAAAGTAAAAACTTGTACTAATGGATGTTATTGTGATTGGCGTCAAAATAATTAGATAATGACCATTCATTCAGTTTGCTTTCTTTGTACGCTGTCTTCCACAATCAAACTCATTATCTGATGCAAAGATTTTTTAGTTAAGCTGAAACATTAAAGGCACATCAGGCCATTTGATGGCGTTTAATCTATTTGCCAACTGAAGAAGCTTTTCAAATTTTAAGGGTTTGGTTTGAAATTTTAGGCAAATGTTCATTTTTATCATATTTGATATTGAACAAATTTTGTGGAAATAAATTTTGATCTACATTTTTATTACAGCTATTGTGGATGCTTATCTGACGCCATGCCTTAAGACTTACATATCCAATTTTCTCAAAGGATTCATAAATCTGCCCGTAATTATTGATTATTTTAAAATATTTGCTAATTTTTTAAGGATTTGTAAATTTCTTCATTAAATTTTGTTTTCATAGTTTTCAAAAGTGTTATTCATGCAATCCAACGGAGGATTAACGCACTTAGAAAGGTTTAGAAATTTTATTCATTTAATTTTTAATTTTATATGTTGGAGACATAAATATAAAAAAACTACTAGATAATTCACGTTTTCAATATCGTGGTTATTTTTTATGTCTGTTCTTCAAAGCCCTAATTTGTTGTTAGTTTATTACGTGTTATCGTTATCGTGTTACCGTTATTGTTGCATTCGGGTTTTGTAATAATTTTCGGCTTTTCAATTTGGTCTAGTATTTAATTAATCTATATATTCTTAAATCATCGTTGTCGCTGTAACAAAAATTATATTTAAATTTCTAATCGATGGCGATGCCGAACTTGTAATAATTGTTCGATTTAGTATTGCAACCGTAAAATCCTCAGTCTTCATGATATGTCTTGAATGTAACTTCTTAATTAACAAAACTTCAATTTACTGTTAAGAAACTAGTAAAACTCTCGTTCAATTAACATATTGCCAATTTCGTTATTTCACTTTTATTTTATCAGCGTCTGTTTATACATTTTTTTTTAATTTTATACGATCCGTGTTTTGATTTTGCATGCTCTTGTTGGAAAACTTTCTTATAGTTTATATTTATTTAGTTGTTTTAACTTACTACAAGTTTCACTGGTTCGAGAGCGATAATGTCTGGCCCAGCTGGCGGTGTGGTTGGCTATGCCAAGACTACATATAACAAAGAAACCAATACGCCTGTAATAGGTTTTGACATGGGAGGTAACTGTTTTATAGCCATTTTTACGCAATATTCAAAAATCATTTTCAACTTCATCAAACACCACAGAACATACAATATGTTTAGCGTAATTGTTCAAATTAAAATTACTTAGCTAACTTCGTTTCTTGTTTACTTTAAACATTTCACATCAATGTCACTGTAAATTTAGGATATATATATATATATATATATATATATATATATATATTATTTTTCTAAATATTCCTTCCGATCAACCGAACGCAATTTATTTTATTTTTTATCCCGACTACAAAGTTAGCGACGGGTTCCCGCAACTTTGCGGTTCTTGGCCCGGTTGTTTCGAATGGTTTACCTCCTAACTTACGTGGCCCTAACCTATCATATTTACAATTTCGAAGTCAACTTAAAAATTATTTATTTGCACAATGAATGTCCGTCTTATTTGTCTATGATTCAGTAGCGCTTTTGAGATTCAACAATAAAAAGGCGCAGTATATAAATTTCCGTAATAATATATATATATATATATATATATATATATATATATATATATATATATATATGTGG